AGCGTCGCAAGGGAAAAAAAGGAGGAAAACATTTAAAATAAAGAAGGAAAGAGAGAAAGAAGGTAAAAGAGAGGACATATGAAGAAAGGGAAGGAGAAGTGTAAAAAGGCAAATAGGCCAACGGCAAAATACAGGAAATTGAGGGGAAAAGAAAGAGAAATGGAGAAAAAAAAAACAAATCAGAAGAAATATATGGCAGAAAAAGAAACGATGAAAAATAAAAAATAGTGATAGAGAGAAAGAAAGAAAAAGAAAGAACGAAGAAAGAAAGAAAGAAAGAAAGAAAGAAAGAATGAAATTGGAGTAGTAATAAGAAGAAAGAAAAAAAAGAAAAAAGAAAACGTAAAAGAAGAAAAGAACTCCGATAAGCAAAAAAGGAGAAATAGAAACCAAAGTGTAGATAAGGAAGAAAAAAGAAAGAAACAATTAAGCAGGAGACATTAAGGAAAAAGAAAGTCAAAGAAAGAAATAAGAGGCCAAAGAAAAAGAAAGTATTAACGCGAAAAGCAAATGAAAATAAAGAAAGAAAGAAAAAATGAAACAAAGAAAAAAAAAAAACGACAGACAGAAACTGAGACACAACAGAAAGAAAGAGAAAACGCGACATAGAAGAGAAAGAAAAAAAGAAGAGAAAAAAATGTGCAAAACAAATAGAAAGTGTGGCGTCAATGAAAATAAAGCAGAAAAACAATAGATTTGCAGAGAGAAAGGAAAAAAAACCTGAGAGAAATGGAAAGTGAGATATAAATAAGAAAAAAAGAAATTAAAGTAAAACAAAAAAAGAAACAAACAGAACATTTAAGAAAAAGGTAAGACAACGACCGAAAACGGAAAAGAAATATAAAAATACAAAGCAAAAAGCATCAAAGAAAGAATGAAAGAAAAAAAAGAAAGAAAAAGAAACAAAGGCAACAAAGAGAAGTCGAAATATAAAAGAAAGAGCAATGGAAGAGAAAAAGAAAATCAAATATAAATAGAAGGAGAGATCTAAAAGAAAGAAAGAAAGAAAGAAAGAAAGAAAGAAAGAAAGAAAGAAAGAATGTTAAAAGAACAACAAATAGAAACGGACATATTAAGAAAGGAAAGAGTAAAGGAAAGAAAAAGAGAGATAAATAGAAACCCCGATGTGAAAGAACGAAAAATGGAAGAGAAAAAAGAAAGATAAAAATATGAAATAGCAAAACAGAAACCAAGATGGAAAAAAAAAAGAAAAGACAGAAAGAGAAGAAAAAAAAAGAATAACGAACGGAGACTGATATATTAAAGAAAGAAAGAAAGAAAGAAAGAAAGAAAGAAAGAAAGAATAAAGTAAAGACAAACAGTGACAAATAGGAGCCGAGGTGTAAACGGAAGAAAAAAGGAAGATGATAAGAAAGTAATGTCAAGGAAAGAAAGGAAGAGCTCGATAGAAGCCGAGACATAAAAGAAAGAAAGAAAGAAAATAAGGAAGAAAGAAAGAAAGAACGATAGAAATAAAGAAAGAAAGAAAGAATAAAAGAAGGAAAGATAGTTACAAATAGAATCCTAGATCCAAAAGAAAGACAAATAGATGAAAATAAAGTCAATGAAAATAAAGAGCTCGATAGAAGCCGAGACATAAAAGAAAGAAAGAAAGCAAGTCAGAAAGAAAGAAAGAAAAGAAGGAAGGAAGAAAGAACGACAGAAAGAAAGAATGAAAGAAAGAATGAATGGATAAAGATGATAAGAAAGTAAAGTCAACGAAAGAAAGGAAGAACTCGATAGAAGCCGAGGCATAAAAGAAAGAAAGAAAGAAAAAAAGAAAGGAAGAAAGAAAGAAAGAAAGAAAGAAAGAACGACAGAAAGAAAGATAGAAAGAAAGAATAAAGGAATGAATAAAGGAAGGAAAAATAGTGACAAATAGACGCCTAGATACAAACGAAAGAAAAATAGAAGATGGAAATAAAGTCAATGAAAATAAAGAGCTCGATAGAAGCCGAGACATAAAAGAAAGAAAGAAAGAAAGAAAGAAAGAAAGAAAGAACAGGTAAGTTAAACAAACAAGATACACTCAGGAGAACGACAAACACGTAGAGTGAGACAAAAAAAGTTGAAACAAATAAAGTCCCATTCCAAACCACTGAATCTACCTAGAGAGGAAAGATGAAAGAACTAAATGAAACCTAAACTTAACACACTGAAATCCGAAAACGGAAAGGCGTCGACAAAGAATGAAAGGAGGTGGAATAATTCAACGGAAAAGAGAAATGGTTATTCCAGGGAAAAGATAAAAGCAAAACGGGGATGGGGTATTCACGCATGAAAGAAACCGTTTCTTGATAGGAGCTTTTTGCGGTCTTCTGAACTGTTTCCGTTCGGGACGGACATCATTCTCCTGTTTCAATTAAACGTACGTTCGTACACAAACGTTGTTTGTCAATATGAACATCTATATATCTATTCATCTGTCTGTCTGTTCGTCCACAGATAGTGCCACGCCCCTTTTCGTATATCATCAAACAAAAGGAATTGGTTATTTTTAGCAAAACTATTTTTGCTGCAATCTATTTTTTTTGGTCGGTGTGCTGATATTTACTAAGTTTAGAATAGTCTGAAACAATGCTAATTCAAAACAAATATGAGCGGAAAGATTATGCTGCGCCAAAAGGAGATGTATAGATAATTTTAACAAATTCCAATCGTTATCTTTAATATTAATGTTCTTGTTTTGTTCTCTCTACATAATAATGTTTTCTTTTCCTCATAGTCGTCCACATTCCGTAAAATCTTGCGTTTTAGAGGCTTTATCTCCTTGCTTAGGGTGAAATGATTAAAAAAAAGATAGATCTAATGCGATACCCCTTTTTGCCTTCAATCAGCATGGCAGATTCTAACCTCCAGGAGAATGACTAGTTGTGCATTTTCGGCTGACACGAAATGGAAATGCTATATTGAATTCACACAGCTGCTAAGAAAGTTGGTTCACTGTGTCGTGCTAAACAATTTATCTCACCAAAATCTATCTTACATATGTATAAGTCTATAAGTCTTAGAATATTGCTACCACATATTGTCCGGTATTCCTGCTATATATTTAGAAATTCTTGATAAAATACAAAGAAGAATCAGTAATATTATTGGCCCTGACCTGGCATCTTGGCTTCAGTCAGATTCCTACAGGTGTAAAGTTGCTTCTCTGCGCCTTTTGTCTATAAATACCTTCACTATAAATACTTTACATACTGAAATTCGAAAATGGAAAGGCGTCGACAAAGAATGAAAGGAGGTGGAAGAATTCAGTACTAGATTGGCGGCAAGGTCTCATCAATTCACAATACAATTTGCTAGATGTAACAGAAAGTTCTATGTTAACAGTTTCTTCTCTTGAACTTCTAGCTTGTGGGACTCTCTTCCGGCTCGATACTTTCCGGCCAACTTAGATCTTCAGAAATTTAAATGACTTGTCAGTCGTCATCTACTGTTTTCATGATTACTGTTCCATTGGTTTTGGCCAAAAGTATTGTTTCTGTTTCCTAATTCTTTCAAACCTAGTAATCCCTTGTGACTTAGTGGCTTTACTGGAATCTGGGGCATATATAAAAAGATAAGATTAAAAAAACATAGATAGATAGATAGATAGATAGATAGATAGATAGATAGATAGATAGATAGAAAGGAAAGATAGATAGATAGATAGATAGATAGATAGATAGATAGATAGATATAGATAGATAGATAGATAGATATGAACAGACAAAAGATAGATAGATAGATAGATAGATAGATAGATAGATAGATGAACATTAATAGACAGAAGGAAAAGAGATAGAAAGAAAATAGATAGATAGATAGATAGATGACAGTCATTAATAGACAGAAAGGAAAAGAGATAGATAGATAGATAGATAGATAGATAGATAGATAGAAAGGAAAAGAGATAGAAAAGAAATGAGATAGATAGATAGATAGATAGATAGATAGATAGATAGATAGATAGATGTTACAAACTAATTGAGACTGATATATAGAAGCGTCGGTGAATGCGTTATTTTCCACTCTACAACCTGCAACGATTTTTCCTTCCTTTATTCTTTCATTCATTCATTCTTTCTTTCTTTCTATCGTTCTTTCTTTCTTCTTTTCTTTCTTTCTTTCTTTCTTTCTTTCTTTCTTGCTTACTTTCTTTCTTTTATGCCTCGGCTTCTATCGAGTTCTTCCTTTCTTTCGTTGACTTTACTTTCCTATCATCTTCCATTTTCCTTTCGTTTACACCTCGGCTCCTATTTGTCACTGTTTTTTCTTCCTTTATTCTTTCTTTCTTTCTTTATTATATCAGTCTCCGTTCGTCATTCCTTTTTTTTTTTCTTCTTCTCTTTCTGTCTTTTCTTTTTTTACGTCTCGGTTTCTGTTTCGCTCCGCAAACCCTTTACAACTGAAAAAAAAAAAAAAAACTTCCTAAGCCTCACGGTAGACTATCGCTATTTCCATTGCAAATGTTCTGACGAGCCTCATTCATTATTTCAACAGTTCTCCAGAAGTAGGATCCCGCCAAGCCGTGTACACTGCAATGAATCATCGAAATGTTCTTCGTATTCACTTGCTAAAAATGATGCTTTTACACGAACCTTGTATAACAGACTCCAGGGAGTTTTCCACTCATGAAAATCTTAACCTCTAAAGTCTAGGGTCAGCTGTTGTCTTTCCTACATATATTGATAATTGACACGCATTTCTTTCTCCTTTTGCATACATAAAGCAACCTCATTCAAGGAAACATCTACCTTTAGTAGCTATTAGGTTTTTGTATTGTGGGAACAATTAATAAAGAATGCTCTCTGGCTATTTCCATAGAAAATGTTCAGTCGAACTACAACTTTTTCCAGCCTTCACGGCTAAGGAATGCCATGTCACGGACATTGTAGCGAACAACCCTAATACTCTTCGGATTCCATTGGTGAGATCTAAGTTCCACTCGAGCAGCACCTTCCTACGAATCTCTACTTTGTGAAACCGACTTCCTAGCAGATACTTTCCCGATGACTACAATCTTAACCTGTCCAACTCTAGGGTTAACCGTTATGTTCCCCATATATTCCCAATAAGCTGTGCCTCTTACTCTGTATACTCTATCTCTAGAGGCTCTTGGGGCTTGTACAGAGCTACCATCATTGTAAAAAAATTAACATGTACATAGATAGATTGTTAGATATGAACAAACTGAGATAGCTTGATAGATAAACTTCGAAACCGGCTTTATGAAGACTTTTTTCGAAAACTAAGGCTGCTGTATAATACGCAACTCTCTCAGCCACAAAACAAAATTAGCCTTTATTGTTTATCTCTAGTAAACTTATATTAACTGGAATAGTATTAATAGTAGTAGAAGGTGAAGGAAGAGGAGGAGGAAGATCGCGAAAGCGTGAAACCCGGGGTTACAAACCACTATACATGCAACGGTATATATATATATATATATATATATATATATATATATATATATATATATATATATATATAAGTTATGAAAAACATGGTAATCCGTATGGGTAATCCCAAGGAGGATGAAACCTGAGAGCTAAATGTAAATCAGAGCTATATATTTTTAAGGACAAAAACAGACCACTTCCAAAAAATGTTTCCGAAAAATAGTTTATTTTGGAAGCCCTTTTAAAGGATGACCGGAGTCATTTAAAACCACTTGTGAAATAAATTATTATAATGGTTTCATGGTCTGTTTTTTTTTTAATATATATATATATATATATATATATATATATATATATATATATATATATATATATAGGCAATTTGAGCAAGGAGGTCCGTGATAAATCTACCTAATGAACTTGTGTAAATGGATGCCAGAAAAAGTGTGAACGATATTAAAAAGGAAAATATTGCTAAGAGCTACAAAGTAGGGGAAGTTGTGGAGAGGCATGGTCACCTACGTACGGAAGGGTCATATGTCATTAAAGAATTTATTTAAAATGAAACAGCTGAAATTTCCAGGGCACATATGAGGATAGAGGGCTGAGAGAATTTGACACTTACAGGATATATTGAAGACGAGAGAAACAGATGAAGGCAGCGAAGAAACTTGCCTAGGGTGTTTTAGTAAATCGTTCGCAAAACTAAACTGCTTTCATTTAACCCCCATAGAGAACCTTTTTTGCCTGCCATCAGCATGGCCGACGCTAGACTCTAGGAGAGCAACACACTGCGCCGTCTGTCCTCACGCATTCCACGTATGAAATGGAGCAACATCGAATTAATAGCTGCATCTACTGCAAGGAAAGTTGGTTCACATTTTGTGCCAAATATTTTTCCTTGTCTTGCACATTTACAAATCTACCATTCGTCCGTGCATTGAATACTGTTGCCATATCTGGTCAGGTGTTCCTGCTACCCAGCTTGTAGTTCTTGGCAAGATTTAAAGGATTAGTAAGGTAATCAATCTTAACCAGGTATCACGACATCAATCACTTTCTCACCAATGTTTTTTCTATAAATATTTTCAGGGCATATGATGTGATGAGATTATTTCTCTGATATTTATTTGCATGATTATACAAAAGTTGGCACAAGGTTAAAAACGGGAATGGGGAAAAGGACAGTCTTCTTCTGTCTTAACATTAAACTTAGCTAGCCACAAACACTGACCCAAAAATACAAACAATAATCCAAACACCAAAACAGCGTATTCTTACCTAATTTTCTTACTACATCCACCATAATACCTCATTGTCTCTATGAAAGTCCTAACTAATCCTCATATGTACAATTCATTGTTTGTTGGGGGAGGGGAATAAAATAACAATTAAAATTTCCATGATGCCCCGAATGCATGAATTTAAGTGTTTTACTAGATTGGCATTTAGGTCCCACTGTTGATATAGTTAAATTCAACCGCTACTTCTATTCTAATAGTTTCTTTTCTCACACTTCCCAACCGTGGAACTCTCTTCCGTTTACTTGATTCCCTGATAAATACAATCTTCAAAACTTTAAATGCAACGTCATTTGCCATCTTCTGTCTACTTGAACGCCGTTCATTTTTTTTGTCCTTTCCTCAATCCTCCCCATTTAAGTTTTCTCTTTGTCTTTCATTGTCTGTACTCCCCCACTGCGTATCCGTGACATACCCGCCTTGCTTCGAGTGAGATATTAAAAAAAAAAAAAAAAAAATGGATTAAAAGAGACAGCAACATGACAGAACCATAGTCAGAGCTACAAAAAAAACCTGAAGCTGTGGAGAACCGTGACCGCACAAGAAAAAGAAGAATTATACATCTATATCGTGTTGCGCTGGTGTTCACATATGACGGCTGAAAATCGTGATTGTCTAAGATTTGAGAGTTCCATATATCGTTGGGAAAAACATCAGCCGGTTCAGCCTACTGTGATCATTTATGGCATAGAGATGAAAGTAAGCTGTTTACTGACTCCTGTCCGGACAGACAGACTGACCGCTCAACTCAGCTTATCATCAATATTCACATTCTGGAACTGAGAACAAACAAGTCAATCTTTCTTTATTTTTCTGGACAGGATTTTTTTTTGTTGGTGTTGTTTTTGTTTATTTCTTTTATTTTTCTTTTCTTTTCTGTCCCCTGTGAACTTTGTCTTATATTGTCAGTTAGAAACATGTGGTGGCTCTGAATATCTGTCGACATAGAGTCAATATGCTTCACTTTTGCAATGGTATCTTTGGTTTTTCACCAAAGAAAAAAAAAAGGTTACTGAGAAAACATCGTGGCTAAATTTATTATTATTATTATTATTATTATATAATTCCCACAATCTTTACGAAGAAGTCATGTCAATTGACAGATAATAAAAAAAAGGTATCTGTGGCGGATGTAAGGGGAAACTACCCCAGAATATTTCCCAAGATCATGTCAATTCATAGATAATAAAGAAAGGATAAATATATATATATATATATATATATATATATATATATATATATATATATATATATATATATATGTGTGTGTGTGTGTGTGTGTGTGTGTGTGTGTAAAATATATAGAAAATAGGAAAGAACTCGTTAGGTAAATGATCCAAAAGTTCTTTAGCATTTTTGTTATTATTTTTAAAAAAAACAGGGCTCGATAAAAGTAGAGCCTAAATATAATTATTTATTTAAAATATGATTCCATCGATGGATGGAATCATAATTTTGAACACACACACACACACACACACACACACACACATATATATATATATATATACACCTGAGCATTCAAGCCAACATTCAGAGGCGACAGGCTGTTTCATGCTAGGTGCAATCGTCAGGGCGCCTGATGATTGCGTCAAGCATGAAACAGTCTGTCGCCCTGAGTGTTGATTTAATGTTCACTTTTATATTTATATGTACATATGCTCTATCTCTGATATTGAGCACGTTATCCCATAAATATATACATATATATATATATATATATATATATATATATATATATATATATATATATATATATTACACAGCTGGTAATAGTTTATTGATATATCCACAGATTCCTTTTCTTTTTATCTGAGTTTTGACATGACATCATGGGAAAATATTAGAGTTGTTACTCGTTGCCTCCTCCACGGAGTTCTTTTCTTAATTATCTATGAATTGACATGACTTCTGGCAAAAGATTGTGGAGTGGTTTCCCGTTGCCGTCTCCACAGATACCTTTCATTTCTTTCTTATCTGTAAATTGACACGCCTTCATGTGAAAGATAGTAGAGTAGTTTCCCAATGCGTTCTCCACAGATTCCTTTTCTGTATTATCTATGAATTGACATGCATCCTGGGGAAATTTAGTGCAGTGGGTTTTCCATTATTTCATTGATTTCATTAGTGAGGTTGTTTTCCCGCCCTTTTTTGATTTTTCATCGATCACGTTTGATTTCTGAATATATCGATAATGAAAAAGTTGATACTGTGACCATTCCAACGGTCAGTAGCTTATAAAGGCTTTATCTCTTGAGGCAATTTATTTATTCTTTATAG